ACCTGTATGCTCGGTGTCATATGCAAGAAATCATCACCAAATTCAGTGTCAAATTCATTCGGCTAAAGCCAAATGTGGTGGCACGTGCCTGTAATCCCAGCACTCTGGGAGGCTGAGGCAGGAGGATGACAAGTTTGAGCCGAGCCCGACTTAGTGATACCTTATCTCAAAATCAAAGATTAACAAAGATTGGGGATGTAGTTGAGTATGAAGGCCCGGTGTTCAGTCCCCAGTACTGTGAAAAAATAAATAAATAAAAAGCAAAAGGCTCTGAACCAGCAGCCCTCTGTTAAAAGTGATAGAAGTGGATGTCTGTATCTTCTTCCTGACCTCAGGGTGACCCTCTCAGCCTTCATACATGCTGTGGGTTTCACACGTGTGACCATATTCTGTTGAGTCTGTTGAGTGTTTTGGTCATAAAAGGCTGTGGAATTTTGTCAGATGCTTTTCCTGCACTAATCGAGATGACCACGTCTCGCCCTTTCTCCCGTGGCTGTGTCCGTTCCGTTGACTGATTTTCACACGTGCACCCCTTCTTAGTCCCCTCTCCTCGACGGGAAGCGGCACAGATAACATTTCAGGGTCCCGTTTCCCCTGGCTCTCAAGTGCTTTTGATGTCCTGGGTACCATGAGAACCACTTGCAGTCCGTTAGCTCATCGAATCCCTGCCTTCAGCCTGGTGGGCGGGACTGCGGTTTCCACACTTGCACTCAGCTGGCGACTGTCCCGAGGTTTGTGTGGTAAGAAAGTTCCTTTCCATGTTGAGGGTGGCAAGGGGCAGAGTGAGGTTCCAGACAAGGCCGTGGGAAAGGAAAGCCTGGTCTCTTAACCGTAGTGCTCCACAGCATGTGCATCCGTCCACTCACCCATCCACCCATCCGTCCGTCCATCTGCGCATCCATCCCTGCAGCCAACTGTAACCTAGTTCCTCCTTTCTGCCGTGCAGGTTCTTGCATGGATCCATTCTGTGTCCAGCTCCCTGGCTCCTACCCTGTCTCTACGTTACAGAGGGCAGCAGCCATACTGGAAGATGAGTTTCTATAGCAGCCCAGCCTCAAGTCCCATCAGAGTGGTGCTGTGCTGTCCCAGGATCCTGGCCCATTACCCGTGATCCCCCCTTCCATAGAAATGCCATCTTTGCAGGTGGCGGGGGGTTTCCATCATGGCTGTTTCTGCAGGCAGCTGGCAGCCATCACATGCTGGCCTAGAGTTGGCTGTTTGCACACGGTTGACAAACCCACTCCCCTGCAGACTGGGTCGTGATTCAGACCCAGGACAACTTTGCTGTTCTTGCCACACGAAAGAATTATTGACCACCTGCCTTAGCCAAGGCCGAGGCAGCGGGTAGCCCTGACCCCTCCTTCTGCAAGGTCTTAGTGATCTATAGATGGAGCAGGCGGTGAGAGGGCTGAGCTGGGGGCTGACCATGGCCTCTGCTCGCCTTCACGGACCCTGGGGGACTAAAGCAGAGCTGTGAATCTCCATCTGTCAAGGTCTAGTGCCCGTGGTGCAGGTAGCTCAGTCATCCACTCACCTAGTTCTGCGTCGCCACCACTCACTTAACGGATTCTCCCGTCGATGTGCTTGTCCTCCACTGTCTTCCTGTCATCATCCATTGATCTGTTCCTCCGTTTCTCCCTCCTTTCATCCACAACCAACCCTAACCTAGTTCCTCCTGTCCACCATTGAGGTTCTTTGTAGATCCATTCTGTACCTAGCTACTCTCCACCTCCCTAGCAACTGTCCATCTGCGCAGCTATGACTTGCTGAGTCAGGGTCTGTGACCCACAGGTGAGTAAGACACCATCTATTGTCGAGTGACTTATAGTCTGGTAGGTGCAAAAAAGTCGCATGAACAAAACATGTATTACTGTACATACAATTTGTTAGGGGAACCCGAGAGCAGTGATTTATCACGCCTGTCGGGACTGAGAGTTTCTTAGAAGGGACGATTGGAGGTTTTGTTTTGTTTTGAGACAGGGTCTCACTGTGCAGTCCAGGCTGGCCTCGAACTCTTAGCGATCCTCCTGCCTCAGCCTCCTGAGTACTGGGATTATAGATGCGTGCCATCATACCCAGCTGTTTGAGAGAAGACTTTGAAGGACGAGCGAGAGTTTGTTAAGTGTGAAGCTCGGAGTTAGGAAAGGGAAACAAGTATCCCAGGCAGAGTGAACGTCCGTGAGGGTGGGTCGAGCGTGCTGGTCGGGGGTGTGAGTCCAGGTGAGTTCATTTTGATGGAGGAGTCTAGTGTGAGGACCTGGAGATGGCCTGGAGCATAGCTTAGGAGCAGATGATACAGTGACTTGTGTGCAGAGGGAGGGAGGGAGGCCAGGCAGCCCGACAGACCCAGTGCTGTACATTTTGCAGCTCGCTGACAGCAGAGGCAGCAGGCTGAGCCAGGCTGCACCACACCGGACAGCAGCTGGGGTGAGGGGACAGCGTCAGGGTGGCCTGGGAGAAGGGAATAGAGGCGACTGTGGTGTGGGTGTCTGTTTTGCACTAGTGTGTGCACGTTCTATTTTAATTAAAAACTTAAAAATGGAGTTGGAGACATCAGAGTCAATATCCAGAGTCTCATTGGGCCTCCTGCAGGTCACCGGAGTGGCCCCTGAAGTTTTCTTTTTTTGGTACTGGGGGCCCAACTCGGAACCTTGTGCTTGTGAGGCAGCGGCAGCACCACTGAGCTAAAGCCCCAGCCCCTGAGTATTCCTTATACACGCGGTGCTCAGCTAGCCGGTGGTTTAGAAGACAGAGGAGGAGGAGGAAGAAGGCCAGCCAGCTCTCATCTTGCTCACACCATTTGTGAAGCTCTGCCTGTATTTTGTGGATTCTAAGGCACGACTTTTCAAAAACATTTCTCATCTCAGAAACTGGGCTGCGTCACACGAGCGGCATCACCACTAACGAAGTGAATCAGCAGTATCGATGGCGTGATTTGTAATCTGTGGAGAGCTGGGCCTGAGAGCTTCGGTTCGGCCAACCCGGCTCTTGCTGTTTCCCGTGGGGAGTTCGCAGCGACCCTCCTGCCATCCTAGGAGCCACCAGGGTTGGTGCCCTGCTTTCCAGACTTGGCAGGTCCCTTGTTGCAGGTCACAGAGGCTATGATGAGAAGGGCTGGATTTAGGGTTTCAATCTGCACCGGCTCAAGCCTTGGGAGGGTGTAGTAGGGGCCAGGAGGGTGGTTCCTGCCCTCGGCCGTTCCTTCCCAAAGCCCAAGACAGTCAGGTCGAGGCACTGCTGCCACTGTCCCCCCACCATCTTTGCACACTGCCCCTTGTCACCCAGCACCTGTCTTCTCTCTGGGCCTTAAACCCTGGATTCCTTTCTCTGGCTGGCAAACATCTGCAGCTGCTGCCCTCCCCTAGGGGCCGCAGGACCCAGGCTGGGGTCTCAGGACACACTCGAGAAGTCGTCCCAAGCCCAGCCATTGCCCCTGCACAGTGCAGATTTGCTTAACGGGAATCAGGATTACTGCTGGTTCTGCCTCTCCAGGCAGACTGGTAATAAACTAATCTCCTTCCCAACTGCAGGAGGGCAGAATTCCCTCCAAGCCCAGAGAGCTCGAGGCTCGGAGTGCCAGAGCTGGAAAGTAATTTTGTTAGTGACGGGCCCTGCCCACCCTCCTGACACTCAGCCTGCTGCTCCTTCCCGGCGTGGCTGTGGCCTTTAATTTCGTTCATGTGTGACATTCACCCAGGCTGCCTGGCCGACGGGCACACTTGACATTAATACGTGTTCTGTGCGGTCCCTGGAGCTCATGAAAGCTCATTATCACTTCTGAGCCAGTAAATGCAATGCCCAGGCCGGGGGTGGGGGGGCAGGCAGTGGAGCAGAGATGTCCACCCCAGCCACGTAGCCACTTGTAGGCAGAGGCCTGGGTTCAAATTCAGAACTCAGACAAAGAGGCTTCTGCTCTTCCACAGGTTGCTGCTGAGTCCCGCCAGGCACTGGGGGAAGGAGGGCATCAGTGTCTTCCCAGAGGCAGCCATGCAGCTGTGGGTGTCCTAGGGTGGTAGCAGTAGTTACCTGAAGTAGAAATGCCTTCTGTGGGACACAGGTTTGGCCCACGGGCTACTGTGCACCCCAGAAAAAGATTCAAGAAGATCGCTTCTTTCTCACACTCACAGTGGCCATGTGATCACTGACCAGTGAGGTGTGAGATGTGGCGCCCCCCAGTCTGAGGGCCGTGCACGGGGTCACCAGTACCGGGAGACCTTGAACTCTGCCCTCTGCTGGGGGCTGGGCTGCACTTCTGTGGCCTGAGTTCCAGCCCCAGCCCTGACCCCATTCAGTGGTGTGGCCTCACCCGAGTTATTTCCCACCTGGACTCCTGGTCCTCATCCCTAGAGTGGAGACTTTGCTGGAGTTGTCACCGTTACCTCCTGAGGTGAAGGGAACAACGGATCAAGGCCCCGCTGCTTGGCCCCGTCACTGAGGGTGGAATCGGGGACCTCAGTGTCCTCCTCACTCCCCAGTGGCCGTCCACTTGCTTGCTTGTCTCAACTATGCAGGAACTGGCCGAAGCCTCAGCCGGAGGGTGGGCTGTGGGGTCGTGGTGACGTCGCTCCTTCTGGTGGGACTCGGGAACCCGAGTTGGCCTCACCCCCGGGGGGTTCTGGTCCACAGATCTGGCTGTCACTGGTCTGCCTAGAGAGCCTGCATGCGTTAGGCGGTGGTTAAGTCTCTTTCCCATTTTCACAGTGGGCAGGAAGCCTTCCTCAGCCCAAGGAGACTGGCGTTCCCACCCCAAGCCGGTCATCTTCTGCCTAGTTGTGCCATCTTCTCATCAGCATGCACAAGGGCCTTGGGATGCTGCTTGGGGACCAGGAGGATGCCACTTCCTGGGCCACAGTGTTGGGGACCTCGGTGCTGGCTGTCCCGTTGCAGGTCCCTGTCTGGTTTCTGTACATGCAGGGATGGGGCAGGGGGACCTCAGGGATTGGGAGCCATGTCTTTCCCCATGGCCCACAGACCTCTGCCTTACTCTTTTCTCCCTCCAGAGTTGATCTGGAAGCTCTCAGCAGAAGATCCCAAGGGGACCTCGTCCCCTGCGGTCGGTCAAGGAAAGACACCAGCTGGCAGAGGTACGTTTCAGGAGCTGGGCGGGCGGCATCTGAGCTCGTGTAGACAAGATGGTCTGCTCTTCTTCCTCCTTCCCTCCAGACCAGCACTTCTGAGTGAGGGCACTGGGCATGTGGGTATGAGCTGGGTGACCTCATGGAAGTTTCCAAGGAAGGACCCAGGATGTCTGACCCGGGCCAGCCCCGGCCACCAATGTGCCTCCAGTTCCTTTGCCTCTGTGGGGCTCTTTTTCTTTTGTTTATTACATTTTTTTTTTTTTTTTGAGACAAGCTCTTGTTGTGTAGCTCAGGTTGGCCTTGGGCTTGCGGCGATCCTCCTACCTCAGCCTCCCAAGTGCTTAAATTACAGCGGTGCGCCACCAGGGACCTCATTTTCCGGTCTGTGAATTGAGGTATCTGTGATGGGAATCTTTCAACTGTGCTGAGATCTTGGGGCTGTTATCCCTCCAGTGTAGAGAAGCAGACAGGGGACCCAGAGAATTCAAGTGACTTGCTCAGAGTCGCACAGCACTGAGGACAGTAGCTTCAGTTTGAAACCACTGCCTGAACTGGCACAGTTCCCATATCTTTTGCTTACTTAGCTATGTGACTTGAAGCTCAAGGCCAAAAATAATAAATATATCAGCCAGAGTTCCTATCTCAAATCCATTTCCTGAAACAGCATAAAAATGGTTTGTTTCCTTATTCTAGAATTTCTTTTAAGCATTGAGCTTTTCACAAAAATCTCTGTAGGATTTGGTTTTCTGACCTCTAAGATGGATGTTAGTGAGCGTGGTGGTGTGTGCCTGTAACCCCAGCACTCGGGAGGCTGAGGCAGGAGGATCACTGCAAATTTGAGACCAGCCTGGGCTACATACATAGCTCAAGGCCAGCCTGAGCTACATAGCAAGACCCTGTCTCAAAAAACAACAAAAAATATTAAATAAATAAAAATAAAACGGGATTGTAACACCTACTTATGGGTCGCTTGCTGTCCCTTCACCAGAGCTACTGTGTCCTGTGCTGTCTTCTTAGCTTCTGATAGTCACCAGACCCTGGCCTTAATCCTCCCTGTAGATGTGGGGCCTGTCCCGCAGGAAACAGATCTGGCCTGGTATTCTTAGGAGAAGGGGCTAAGGCAGCGAGGTTGAAAGTGTCCCCTCCCCTCCCTGGCCCCACATGGTCTCTCCCAGCCAGAAGAGTCTCCTCTGAACAGCATGGGCCAGTGTTCTCGGTTTCCCTTCTGGAGGGAGCCTGAGGATTGTGGTTGGCCCAATCTAGAAAGAGGAAAATGTTGCTCACAAGGAAAACATAAAGGCATCAAGAAGCAACAACCATAGTCAGCAGCTTGTGAAGGTGGACTCTGGAGGCTGAGTCCCAGCTCTGGACTTCAGTGGCTGCAGGCTTCAGGGTCAGGGATTTGGGCCGTTAGCCTCAGTGTTCTCATCTTTGAAATGGGCACAAAGTTCACATCGCTCTCGGCAGCTGCCGGGCAAAGTGAGCCCCAGGGAAGGCCCTGTTTGCCATGAACCGTGGCAGCCCCTTTGGACCGGTGGCCTCCCGAGGTCACCCTCCTGCAGAGGCCCAGGCTCTGGGGATGTAAGAGCCCGTGTTTGTAACCAAACATTGTGGTTACCGTGGAGACACATGCCTCTTCCTGCCCCCGGTCTAAAAAGGGAGCAGGGTCTGGCTTATGTCAGCTCTGTTCTGACTTCCGTCCTGGGGCTCAGAGCCCTCTTGGGTGTGAACAGCCTTTCTCAGCCTCTGCGTGTGGCTGGTGCTTCCTCCCTGCCATCTTCCCTGGTCCTCTGTGGATACCTGCTGATCCTGCCCATACCCAGAGGGGGAATTAATAATCCCTAGCATTTGGGGTCTTCAGGGGTTCAAGAAGTTGTCTGTGACTCTTCACCAGCAGCAAGGGAGAACCCAAATTCGGGGTCCCTGTCCCAAGAACAGTGTTCTCCTGCGGCTCCCCTGGATCCCAGAGGCTGCACCCGGAGAGGCATCTCTGCCGCCGTGGTGGTGCCCCTTGAATGCAGGGTGGCTCTCTTCCCAGCTCTCCCACTTAGCCCTGCACAATGTTCAGGGCTCAGCACAGGCAGGAAGAGAAATTCCTGCTTTTAGCTTCTGAGCCAGTCCCCTGAACGGGGCCGAGTGAGGAAAGGCAGCTTTTACGAAGTGTCCCGTGATCTGACAGCAGGAAGCAGGTGGCAGGACAGGAGGTGACAGTGGCCTGTCCGCAGCAGTGGGGCCTGTTCCCACGCTCTGGTTACCTATTTTTTCTTTTCTTGCCTATGCCCTTTGTTGTCATAACCATCCATTGCCAGATCCAAGGCCATGAGGATTTACCCCCGTGCTTGCTTCTAAGAGTGCTCGAGTTTTAGCTTCTGTACTTATGTCATTGATCCACTGTGAGTTGAGTTTTGTTTATGGAGTGATTGTGTGGGAATATCTGCCTGGCTCCTCTGTGAAGGCCCTGCTTTCCCTGTTGAACAGTCTCAACACCTTTGTTGGGAATCTGTTGCTCACAGATGTCTTCAGGCCTCTCCATTCTGTTCCCTTGGTCTCTGTTTTGGTTCTAGTGCCAGGATTGTGTTTTGGTGACCATGTTTCTAGCTTGAACTTTCTGAGGAGCAGTGCTGTGTTTTAGAGCCTTCCAGGTGGTTTTGATGTACAACGAAGGCTGGGTGCTGTTGGTTTCCAGATGGAGAGGACCTATCATTATGGGCGTGACCCTGGGGAGAGGCACTATCCTGGGGTGAGGGGGAAATCCCATCCGTCCAACTCCCGAGGCCGTGGGATGTAGGAGGTGTGGGCAGGAGCCGGTGGTAGAGGTGATTTGGAGGAAGAAGACCTGGGTCCCCTCAACAGCTCTGCTCGCTGTGCCATCTTGGCCGTGTCACTCAAGCTCTCTGAGCAGACTCATGGCCTCTGCTAGGTGGAGCAGAATTCCCTAACTGCTCGTGCCAAGCCTTAGGCGCTGGTCCGTGGTCAGCGAGGCCAGTGCCAGAGGGGCCAAAAGGTAGCTGAATGGATAACACAGTCTCCACCCAGAGTTGCTGCCAGGGGAGCCTCAGCATGGGCCTCACCCTCAGGCTCCTTGCTGCTTCTGGCCTCAGATGTTGCCTTGGAGCTGGCGATGGCCTTCGGGGTTCCGGGGGCCCTCGGTTGTGTGTTGGCGAGGTAGGAAGGGGCCCACTCACAGTGTATCCCACTCTTCCCACCTATGCACCCCACAGGGGCTTATCCGGGGAGGCCTGGCTTCCTCCTTGCTCTGTGCCTGGGACCTGTGTGCTGGGGACAGGATGACAGGTGCTCAGCGCCCCAGTTTCCTGCTCATTCAGCCTAGTGCTGGCCAGAACTCTGGCTCTGGCCAGCGCTGCATCCACCTGTAAATCTCGGCAGCCTGCGGCCCTTTCCTGCCCTTCCCCGTGTGTTCCAGCCCCCAGCCTCTTCCTCCTTTTCAAGTTCAGTTTTAAGGGTTCACAGGGGACGGCACAGATGTGCCCTGTTAGGAGGCTCAGTGAGTAGCTTTCCCCCAGGTCCCCTGCAGTGGGAGCGGGGCTGACAGACCTCTCACTGTGGGGTGACTGTCCTAGACCTTGACGAGAGATCAGTCTTCATTTCCGCATCTCAGGGAAAATCCTGGCTTATTTTGCTCATGCAGCAGAAAGTACCCTTTGGGGCTTTATGATTGTTTTTAATAATGATGTTAATCCATATTGCGAACCACACAGGAGGACTTGCAGACAGCCAGCTGGGCCGTGGAGGGAGGGACTGGAAACTTCCAGTGCCCTGGGAACATCAGAGAGGGGAAGCGGCTGGCTCCAGATCACACAGCTCTGCATAGCAGGGGCAGCCTGGTCTCTGCACTCCCCGGCCTCTTTGATGGGTTAGAAGTGTAAACCAGAAAGGTTTTCTAGAGGGAAAGTTTACGTGGCTGAACTTGGAAATAAATTTTAAAGTGTGTGCTCTGTGAAAGGCACGGCTGGGAGAAATGAGGGTAAGCTGCAGAGTGGGGCCCATCTGGTAAGGAACAGCTATCCGAAACACACAAGGTACACGAAACAAACTCAGCAGCAAGAAAACAGACCAGTTCGTTTAAAAAAAAATGGCAGAAGTCCCGAATGGGCGCTACACGGAAGACTCTAAAGGACAGACTCGTCTGTGAGAAGCTGCATGTGTCCCAGGTCATGGGGGACTGCAAGAGAAAGTAGACAGAATGGCCCGGCCACTCTCGAAGGCAGCTGGGCAGACTCAGGAGCTGGCACCGTCTCACCGCACAGCTCAGAGGCCCTGCCCCTCGCCCTTTGCTCCAGGCGCCGCACGCTGTCCTCACAGGGCCGTGCACAGCAGCCTCGCTCAACTTGGGGGGTTTGATAGGATCGCGTTGAGCGCAGATCCAGTGGGGCATAAGAGACACCGCGGCGGTGTTTGTTTGTTTGCTTGTTTTTTGGTACCGGGGATCGAACTCGGGTCCTTGTGTTTGCGGGGCAGGTGGCGGAACCACTGAGCTAAATCCCCAGCCCTCTTGTCCATTTTCTGTTTAGCTTGTAACTAAGTATTTTCTTTCTTTGGGTGTTAGCAGAAATGGATTTGTGTTTTCCGTTTCAAATCCACTTGCTCGTTGCTGATGTACAAGAAAGCAGGCGGATCGGCAGCGCTAGACTGAGGTGTAGGAGTCGGGGTTTTCCAGGGAAACACAGCCAAGAACCTACAGAATGCATACACACACACACACACACACACACACACACACACACACACAGATATACACGTGTGTAAACGGGGACACACATACATGTGTATAGATACACACGAGGGGTGATCGAAGACCACCACCAGTGTCCAGTGGGGCCACCTGCGAGGTAGGGTAGCTTGGAGCTAGGGTGACCCTCAGTTTCCCCTGAAATTCCCTTTTTTGTGTTTTCTTTTCTTGTGGAGGTGGGGATAGAGCTCAGGGCCTTGCATTTGCTAGGCAGGTAGCATGACGGGGCAGCCGCACCCAGCCCTAGTGGGGTGAA